TGTTTTTGTTTATGCAAAAAGAAAATAAGGAGAATTTTAATATATTTTGGCAAAATGCTCAGTAAATATGTTTTTTTTAATTATCGTAGTGGTGGTTATACAAACCGTGATGTTTTGAAATCAGGTAGTGTGATGCCTCCAGCTTTAATCTTCTTGTTCAAGATTGCTTTGGCTATTTGGGGTCTTTTGTGGCTCCAAATGAATTTTAGGACTATCTTTTTCTGTTTCTGTGAAAAATGACATTGGAATTTTGATACAGATTGCATTGAATATATAGATCTAAACATTAGTCTAAATAATCTAAACATTATTTAGAGAGATAAGTTTAGGTTATTTGGAAAAGCAAAACCTATGCAACAGCTCATAGACTGTCAGTGCTGGGTAAATGAAACATCTCCATATTTGGAAGTATTTTCTCTGAAGAAAACAAGGTACTAATTAATAAACATGAATGTTATCTAACTACCAATCCCAGGATGCCTAAATAAGCTTTTTAAAAATAATAATAATAATTACAGATTCCCAGGAAGGTGCAAAGTAGTATGGAGAGTCAGGTGTACCTTTTACTGTTTCCCCTAATGGTTACTTCTTACATAATTACAACACAATATCAAATCCAGGGAATTGATATTAGTATAATGTGTGTGCATAGTTTTGTCATTCTATCATTTTATCATTTACATGTGTGCATTTGTGTAGTCACCACTGCAATCAAGATACAAAAGAAGTGAGTATCCACCTGTGAGAGAGGCCCCAGCACCCAACCCCCAGGCCCGAGGCAACAGCATGGAGACCCAGCACCCTCTGCATGTTATAGTCAAATTGGCAAAACTCAAGGACAAAGAGAGAATCTTAAAAGCTGCAAGAGAGAAGTGTCAAGTCACCTGTAAGGGAATCCCTATCAGACTAACATCAGACTTTTCATTAGAAACCCTAAAAGCCAGAAGAGAATGAGATGATATATTAAAAATACTAAAAGACAAAAATTGCCAGCCAGGAATATTTCACACAGCAAGACTATCCTTCCAAAATGAAGGACAAATAGTATATTTCTCAGACAGGCAAAGACCGTGGGAGTTTTCTACCACCTGACCAGCCTTACAAGAAATTCTCAAGGGAGTACTGGGTCTGGTACCTGAAAAACAACCATCACTACCATGAATACTCAAGAAAGAATAAAACCCACCAGTAAAATAGAATGTTAACAATAAAGAGAAAAAAATAAGTTTATCTACCATTCCGAGAAACCAACAAACACAAGACAAACAGTAAATCAGAAAGAAACGAACAAAAGATATTTAAAACATCCAAACAAAAATCAATATAATGCCAAGGGTAAATCAATACCTTTCAATAATATCAGTAATAACTCTTAATTAAAAGGATTGTATTCCCCACGCAAAAGACACTGACTGACTGATTGGATTAAAAAGATAGACCCAACAATATGCTGCCTTCAAGAGACCCACCTCATCTCACCTATTTGTAAAGACACAAATAGACTAAGAGTGAAAGGATGGAAAAAGATACACCATGCAAATAGAAATGAAAAAATGAGCTGGAGTAGCTGTTCTTATATCAGATAAAATAGACTTTAAACCAAAAACAATAAAAAAAGATTAAGAAGGCTTCTATATAATGATCAAAGGATCTATCCAACAAGAAGACATAACAATCACATATATGCACCCAACATTGGGGCAACCAGATTTATAAAGCAAACACTATTAGACCTAAAAAAAGAGACAGACACTAATACCATAATAGTGGGGGATCTGAACACCCCACTCTCAACATTGGACAGATCATCTAGGCAAAAAATCAATAGAGAAACACAAGAGCTAAACAACACTTTAGACCAATTGGACTTGGATGATATATACAGAACATTTCATCCAACAACCTCAGAATATTCATTCTTCTAATCAGCACGTGGAACATTCTCCAGGGTAGACCACATGTTAGGTCACAAAGCAAGTCTCAACAGATTCAAAAAAAGTGGAATTATTCCATGTATTTTTTCAGACCACAATGGATTAAAACTAGAAATCAATAACAAATGAAACTCTGGAAACTATACAAATACATGGAAATTAAACAACATTCTATTTAATGACATATGGGTCCAAAAAGAAAATAAGCAGGAAATCAAAACATTTATTGAAACTAATGAAAATAATGACACATCATAACAAAGCCTGTGGGATACTGTAAAAGCAGTACTAACCAGGAAATATATCACATCAAATGCTTACTCCAGAAGAATGGAAAGAGGGCAAGTAAACAACCTAACACTTCACCTTAAAAAATTAGAAAAACAAGAACAATCCGAACCCAAAGTTAGCATATAGAAAGAAATAATTAAGATCAGAGCAGAACTAAATGAAATAGAAACCCCCAAAATGATACANTAGTAGACACACATGGAGTTGTATAGTGCTACTTTCTGACAGGTGCTGTGCCATCAAATAAGCACAACTCCTGGGATGCAAATCAATACCAACCACAGCTAAGTGTGATCATGGTACAACCACTTTCTACTTAATCTCTGGCTGTGTGATCCTTCTCTGATAGCCTGTATTTCTTGATTCAGCAGTTCAAGTTCCTAGTTCTCTGCTGCAAAATAACATGCTTTGGGCCTATCCTCACATCACATCCAATTTGTGTTTTCTTCTCTATCACCAGTGCACTTAGAATTGTACTGATACCCACTGCCCAAGTTAAGATTTTTTCCCCCTAATTCTTTGCACTCACTGTTTCATGTTTCTTCTCTAGAAATAAACAGCTATAATGCTGAAACATATGGATGGTATCTAGAGGTAAGGGTGTTAAAATTATGTGATAAAATATTTACAATTGGAATTTTAACAAACGTCAATATCCAATAATAAAAGACTAGCATAATTATGGATAGTTATATAATGGAACGTTATACAGTCAGTACAAATGATGAGGACTCTACACATGCTGATAACAGAATTAAAAAGATTAGGTGAAAAAAAAAATCAGTGTCAAAAATGTGTATGGTACATTTTCAAAACATTTTTAAAAGTGTGTTTGAAATACCCCACACTTAAAGTTGCTTTAAAATGAGCAGGATAAGTGGACATTAGAAAAGAGAAGACTGGCTGGACAGTATAGTAAAATTATTCACAGAATTTTAAAAACCGATGGTTGTTCTTAAGCTTAAATTGTGCTTAGCTGAACAACTTATTTCCTCTAAGTCTGCCAATCTGTCTCACACACACACACAACTGGATGTATTTTTAAAAACATGTTAACTGGTTGCCTTGAGGGAGTTGGGACTGGATGGGAGACTTTTTTCATAATATACTTTTTCATTTCTTTGTGTTTTTGCTTTGTGTATATTACCAATTTTTAACAAATAATTTTTAACTTGCAAGATAATAAAGGTTCTTGAATAGTCCGCTTTTATCTGTTCGCCAAGCCTGCTCTGACTGGAATGCTCTTCCCTCCAGATATTCAAATGGTTCATCCATCCCCCACCTCAGGACTTTATATAATTATTTTGTTATATAGAGGGACAGACTC